CTTTGCTCTTGGGAACTCTAATTTGGGCTTGGCAACTTATCTGTATTCCAGCCATGCCGATTTCACACTCCAGTAAGCCTCACTCTTCCAGTCACTCTGGAATCCCAAATGCAACAGTTTTTAAGGTGCTGTTTCATTTGTCCTCTGCACAACTTCATGCACTAAATATTAAGCATTTAAGTAAGTCAGGTGCAAGTAGTCTGTACTGAGCCAAGGAGAAGTGATATCCACCTGCAGGAAATGTTGCAGGGGGAAACAGATGCATCGTGGTGATAGGAGATGGGAAGGGGATGTTAGGTCATTAATTACTTAGCCTTGCATAAACAAAACTTAATATTTTGAAAAGTCTCTAATTTAAAGGGAAGGAAAAATCTTTCATCTGCTATGCTATTTAGCTACATGTCAAGCTGGGTCAATTGGAAGACATTTGTGATGCTCGCAGCTTTATGTATTGATTACTCCTTCATGAGATGTTCCAGTGTGGTGAGTTTTGGGCTAGTTCTGAAAGGGGAAGGAGCTAAGGGAAGCTAGACTGCAGAACTGAGGATTCCTGCCTGACTGCATCCCTTCTGGTTTGTTTTACTTTTCTGCATGTTATAGAACTCATTTGATGGCTTGTAGTTGGGGATTTAATCTGTGATCTTCTCAGAAGTGGTGTTTTCTTCACCTGCTGTCTTTATGATTTAGAAGAGAGGACTTGGTTGAAAACCTAAGTGTGGTGAATAAATGTTTAGGTTTTCTCGTGGGTTTTGGGTTGGTTTTTGTTTTTGTTTTTTAAACTCTTTTCTGTCCCTCCTGCCCCCCTCCATGTCTTGGCAAATATTTTAAAAAATGAGAAGCTGGTAAGTTTGTGCTTCATCCAAAACTAATTTAAGATTGAGTAGTTCAGTCACAGGAGGTTTCAGTTCATCTTTTTCTCAATATAAGCAATGTGAAAGATGAACTAAAATTCTACACATTGTAGTGCCTTTACTCAAGCACCAGACAGCTTTCAGAGAGCGAAGGAGCATTAAACATTAATTTTTATCATCAGAGACAGGTTCTCCCTCCAGCTGCTTGGCAACAAAGGTTTTTTCCTTTGGTTTTTTTTTTTGTTTTAATTGGCTGGTAGTATTTATTAAACAGCAGATACTCGGAGGAATTTCCAAAGCTTCATGTAGCAGAACTGGGTAGCTTTTTTTTGGAAAGCTGAATGATGGAGAGTGCCCACACAGGAGGCTGTTGCCAAAGAATTATCTTCATATGCTCAGTGAAAATGTAATGCTGCTTGTGTGTATTTTATGTGAAATGTTGTTACAAAGTTAAGAAAGATTGTTTTCCCAATATAATCCTAAAGCTGAAATACAGTTCTATTCCAACACTGCAAATCTGCATATGTGCATAAATTACTTAAATATCTAGGAGTAGTGACATATATGCAGTTAAACATGTCAAATTGGATGATTAAATGACTGGATTGTTAGGAAGAAAATAGTAATTTTCTCAAAAAACCCATAATGAATGATTTGGCACAATGAACTGCAAACATTACCAGAAAAACTTCTTCTGAGGAAAATTTGCTAGCTGAGGATCACGATTTTATGCAGAAGGTATTAAAAACAGGAGATACAAGTGAAAATATTCCAGATTTTCTGAAATTAATTGACAAGTTCCTTTCTTCCACTGAAATTATTTTACCTGCTGACAGCTAAGTGGGTGGCTCTGTTCAGTTAGGGATCTCACACAGCCAACATGTTAGCAGTCACTCCTGTAAGCTGATTTCTTTGTGATAGGGAAACCACGTAAATGCTTCCCAAGATAAACTGCTGTTCTGAAAGGACTTGAGTTCTCGCTTGAGTAACTGGACTGTAGATCAAGGAGAATGTTCTGCTACATTAATTACTTGCTTGCCTGTTATGTGTATACAAGAAATGCTGGAGCCAAGACTGACCAGTTTTATCTCCATGGCACTGAATTAGTGGAGATGAAGGGTTTGTTTGGGCATGATCTTTGTACTGATTATGTGTATGAGTAAGAGAGAGTCCAGTTTGACTCAAAGCCCAGGCTAAAATTTTTGAGCTAGCAATTTAAAAGAATTGTTTTATTGGTAGACTAAGCAAACTTGTGTATCAGTGAGTTTATGTCAATAAACATGTAAGCCTTGTATGCCTTTTTAGAAGCACTTTGAGAATAACCATTTTACCCTCTGCAGAGTACACTGAAATTTCATCTAAGTGAAGGCAGCTGGATAACTCTTTTCTTTGATCATGAAATGTATTCATCTGGGCAGTGGTAACATGAAATCAAAAGTGAAGTCAGAAGTGAAGACCCTTCTTAACATTATTCAAACTTAAACTGAACTGACTTTGATGTTTCTGGACTACATTTTGAGTGCTTATTGAAGCCTGTCTTTTTTTGTATTGTTAGGTCTGTACAGAACTGTGGTCCAGCCCCTGGCCACACCAGTAAAAACATTTTTAAGTAGAAGTTAACACATAACTAATTTTGCATGTTGCTTTGTGCTGTAACTTAATACATGGTTGATCTTAATGTGGCTTTTCTTGCTGAAATGGGTGGTCTGTGTAAGCCAGTGATTGATACAATGCAAGCTGTATTGGGAAGGAGGTGAAATGATCTTTCTATACAGTCAGGTCTCTGCAGGGTACTGGTGAAAAAGAGAGTTAGGATGAGAGCAGTCCTGGTGATCATCCCTGTTCTCATGTAAAGACCAGTGTCTCGCCTAAAGCTTCATTCTGTCCAAAGTGCTGTTGTGCTAAATCTCTGCTTCAGAATAACTTTGACACAGCTGGTGTCGTGTTATCTGAGCTGAGTCATTCCTGTTGGTCATGCCGAGTTCTCTGATATGGCAGGTAAGTGCTTTCAAAACACTGTTTCAAAACATGGTTTGTATGGATGCTCAGCTTGGTTGTTGCATTTCAATGGGAGTTAGCAAGCTGGAAACCTGCAGCGAGCAAATCCGAGGATGACTTCAGCTTCTGCACTGTCTCTGTTTTCTGTCCTCTCCTGCCCTTCTGTGCTCCCAAACCAAAAGTAGATGTAGATGTAGATGTGCTAGTGGAAACTTGTACAAACAAGACTTGCAAAGCTGACCAGAAACCTATTTCACATTCTCAGTTTTCTTGGCTGATTATGGTTTGTGCCATTAAGTGAACCACATCATCATCTGTTAAATTTATTTGTACTTATTTCTGAAGTTCCATAAACCCTACTTTACCAGACTGACTAATTCAAAGCATTTGTTCAAAGCACTACTGCCACATTACTAGTAAAAGGCTCAACAAGGAAAATGAGGACTTGTTGCTGAAAGGGGTGGGTGGTCTGAGCAGGCCCACTTCAAATTTGGGTCCTCAATGCTGGTTTTGCCTCAGCCTTCAGAAAAAGACTCCCAGGCCTCTGTGCTGGGTGAAAGGGATCGAGAAGGAGAAAAAACTACCAGCAGTGGATGAGGGTCAAGTGAGAGTTGAACCCATGAAAGTCTATGGGACCAGGTGAACTGCATCAGAGGGTGATCAACAACCCTTGGGATCAAGAAACGGAAGACAAGAGCAAGCTAAATTTTCCTGGTGAATTCTATGTCTCATTTCCACAATGGAAGTACTTGAATCTTTGCACATATTCACTGTTCCTCGTGCTTCCTTGAGAGATCATTGCTGTGGGTGGAAATTGTAGCCGAGTTCTTGTTTAGGTACATTTTATTATTTAAGACTTGCACTCTGGGCAGCATGACTTCCTGCAAAGCACAAGAGCTTGCATTGCAGTGTCTGAGCTGTTCTTGCTTCTGAGGCTATTTGTTGTGAATTCTTAAACATCATGACTTTACATAGTAGGTTTTGTTGCTTCTAATTGGAAAATGTAACTTAACTATCTGAAAAGAGAGGAATTATTTCTTGACATGATGGAGGTCTTTGGGTACTTCCATTCCTCTTCTAGGGAGCAGTGATACCCTTTTCCATATATATACATAAGTAAGGAAGTTTTTGCATCTGCAACTGTCAGGAATGTACTTTGGCTAATGGATGCAGCCTAGCTTAAAGGCAAGATCCCATAGTGGGTCAGTAAAGCTTTTTTGGTCTGCCACACCAGATTATCATTTTATTTAACCAGAGAAATAGTTTTCATTTTCATTTGATTGCCAAGGGTCTGTCAGCATTTCCTTTATAAACCCCCTATTTTCAGGGATTTGAGTAGACTTGAGATTTAAGTATTCTGGTCTAAAACTTGGCAAGCACAATCTCAAGTTCACCAGCGGATATTTTCTTTATGAGATTTTAAAATAGTCAGCTGTTTCTTAAATTGTAGCGAAGGCAAGGGTTTTTTTTCCTCTTGGTTAAGCAGATAGGACTATTTTTTCCATCTCATTTATGCCAGCTAGATTTATAAAAATAAAACCTTATTCTCCTGAGTTTTGGGGTTTTATTTTTATTTTTTGAAAAAAAAAAAGAGGGGGAAGAACAAGGAAAATCTGCCTGCTCTTCTGTTTGCCAGAGGATCATGCCTCAAAACCTTCCATTTGCTTTGGTTTGTTTGGTGAAATCCTACCCACTCTCTCTGTCTCTTTTCTCCTCCCCTTTACTTATTTCCCTTCAGTGTATTTACAGTCTCACTACATTTAATTTACAGCATTTCTTTTTACTCTGTTCCTCCCCTTTGCCTTCCTCTGGGGCTTTCAGAGCTTGGTTCTCGTGAATCTGCCTGTTTTACCTCTCTCTGAAAGGCAGCTCTGAGGTATTCTTAAGTGATACAACATACTTCTGATACACACTCTCTTGTGTATTTCTTTACACTTAACTATATGTACAGAGAGAGTTCTGCTTAACATACTTAACTCTCAGTAGAATATTGCAATTATTTAACACTTCACATACTTTGCTGTGACTCAACTGAAGTATTCTCTCTTTCTTTTCTTTTTTTTTTAAACCGAATCTTTAATGTGGACTGAAAAAAGTGAACTGTGATTGGTGCAGAGCACCACTGTGGGTTTTCATGGCTGGGCTCTTTTAGTCATTTCCTGAAAGCTTGGTGCAGAAATGTGACAGTGCAGGAAGCAGCAGCAAGCATAGCAAGGCTTCATGTACCGTTAGAAGTCAGTTTGCTATAGGTAAGGGCACATCCTTCTTATTGAGATGTAGAAATACTGGTTCTGGGATTGATGCTCAAGATCTTCGGGAAGAACCTCTGCTGTCTTGCAGTTCACAGTGGTGAACAAAGCAACTGGGGCTTTAACATGGTGAGTGAGGAACTATGTTTATGTGACAAGCAACAAGGGATGCAAGTTAAGCACTGAAGTTAAAGGAGTGGAAAATGAGTGCTTTCAAAAAGCACTATAGTCTTTCTCCCAGGACTTTCAGAAGATCATTGTCAGAACAAGATGCTGGTACTGCTACCTTGAAGGACTATCATTGGTACCACCAAATGAAAAGCAAGAAGATGAATAAACAAGCGAGTCCTGACCCAGAGAAACCTCTCGGGGCATACAGGTGGCAGACACATCCTCGTCTTCCCTGGAGGATAAGCAGAAAAGAGGGCTCCTGCAGCCTGAAAGGGGAGTGCAGTGATCCAAGTCTTGCCAAAAGTTCTTCTAGTGTGGGTGCTACCAGTGCGGATGATCTCCACGAAGATCCAAAAGAGATGCTCTTCCAGTCAAGGACTAGACCATTTCGGGTTCCGTTCAATCGCTCTCTTTCTGAACCCGTGCCACACATTGGGGACAGGAATGCAAAGCCGTTTCTGCAAGCTGTGCACTCGGTGGACTCTGAACAGCAGGGCTATTTCATCCGTGGCATCTTTTCCTCTCTCTCGAGTGGCTTTTCAAAGATAATGAATCGTAAAGGGGAGCCTGGCAGTGAGTCAGTAAATGAGGGGAAGACAGATGATGATCCAATTGATTTGAATACAGGTAATGAACTCTTTTTTGTTCTGTTTGTGTGTAACAGGTGAGTGCAATGAGACATTTTTGGGGATACAGTAATTGTTTGAACTGTTCTCTAACTTAGTTATATTAACATGGCATTGGCAACTCTCCGATATGCTATCTTTATTTCAAAAAAGCAACTGAAAAAGGGCCTTTCCTGATAAGGAAGTGGTGTGAGATGTTTTGGTGTGTGTTTAAAAACTTGGAGGTCCCTTTAAAACAAGCATCATCTTGTAGAAGTCGTAGCACTTCTTTCTCAAAGGCACCCTCTGTGTGTGGCATATGTAACCCTGCAAGCACAGCAGCTTCTGTGGTGTTGTAGTGCCCTGATTGAGATATCAAGCTTGCTACTGTAAATGCAGTACAAGGGAGAGAGATAAATTAACACTGTCTTTTAAGCAGTGGTCAAGACAGTGGAACAGATCTAGTTCTTCATATCAGATTCACTGTTTTGTAATTAACTAGCTAAACTGATGCCTGCTCTCTTGGTGGGTGCCAAGGACAGCAGTATTGCAAAGGTTTAGCCAGCTGTGGTTGAGGTTAGCAAGATGCCAGTCTGAGGTTTCATTTAAACCTACTCTGCAGATAACACTTGTAAAGCAGGGGAAAAAAAGAAAAAGGAGCAGGGGGAGGAGGGGGAGGAAGGAGAGAAATTTGCCTTCTAATCTCTTGGTCTTTCCTGTAACTTTCTATTGGGCTACCCAACCTGAACCAGGTAGCTGACGATGCTTTGAAGAAACCTCACAAAGTTTAAATTCGTGATAAAACCAAAAATAAACCTTCTTTCTCCCCAAAACCTGAGCACTTTCCAGGGTTCTCCGGATTTTCATATTAAAAGCCCAATAACATCTGGATCTAGTTGAGACAAGTCCTCAGTAGTCAAAAAAACTAACCTTGGTAGTAGAGTAGTAGTGATAGTAGTGAAAGAAGAATATACTCAGTCTACAGGAGTATTCAGTCTTTCAGTCACAGTGGGGTGTCCCTGACAGGCTTATGTTTGCTACTGGAAGAAGTCTTTAAACCAGAAACAAATGGTCAAAGAGCAGAAATAGCTAAGAAGGACTATGTCTGTTCAAACCTAGTTGTGTACAGTCACTGACTGTGTTTCTCCAAAACCTTTCTCAATTGAAATTTGCTTTCATGACAGTTTTTAAACTGTATGGAATACATGTTGGGGAGAGGAGATAGTAATGGAAGTACTTCCCCCCACACCTGTTGTTGAAGGCTTTTTGTTGAGGGTTGGTAGGTTTGGTTTTTTAATTCCTCTCCAGTCATTCACATTAGAAACAACGTTTTATGCTGCAGGGTCCTGTTGTTGAGACTTCCCGGGAGGCTGCATTGCTGTTGCAGACTGTTTGGGGCAGTTTTTCTGTTTGGTCTCTTCTGCCCACTAGCAAGCTATACTGGAAAGGTATTCTATGTGATATGAGCATTTTGGATCAAACTCCTGAAGTATATGTGGAGAGCATACTGTAATTCCTTTTTTGCCCTGTTCTGGTGCACTTTGATATCAAACGGCTCTCATATTTTGTAAGTATTGTCATTTAGCTGGGTTATTGGGATGCTTTGCTTTTAGTAGCATGAAAAATGAACAGAGGAAAAGGGTTATTTGTAAGGAGCCACCACTTGGTAAATACTTCATGTCAGTTATGGGATGATGACAAAGCCTTTTGGCTCATTGGCACTGGAGAAACCTCTGTCTGAGCCTGCCAAAACTGGTTTTGCAAAGAGAATCACAGTTCAGGAAATGAGAGAAAAACAATGAGACTTAGATTAAAAGTCAAACTGTCTCAAGAGAGGAAGCTGTAGCCAGGGAGGTTCTTGGAGAAATAAAGTTGATGCAGTTACCCACAGAATTGCCTGAAACAGGCAGGTCCTGCTTGAGCTGCTGTCATGGGACCTCAGAGCTTTTGGTAGGATGGACACCTTTGTGGAATTCCTTTTCAGCCTTTGTCTTCTCAAAGGTTCAGCCTCTGATCCTCAAGTAGACAACATTTTAGTTTCAAGAAAACTAGTTCACCCTGTAAGACATAGAATCATAGAATAGTTAGGGTTGGAAAGGTCCCTCCTGGAGCTCCCCCCTGTGAGTCACTGCTCACATCAGCTGAGCTGCCAGCTCATGGGCAAGGCCTGGTGAGGGCTTGAGGCTGCTTTGGTGGCTCTCATTGCTCAGAACTGAGGCTGCTGGACGCTGTGTTTCCTCTCGCTCTGGTGTTGAAGGCTCCTCTCTGGAGATACCTCACGCTGCTATGTGGGACATAAGACAACTAATAGCTTACCACTGGTTTTATTTTTTCCTTAAAGAAGAGCTGCTCTTCCCAGGGTTAGCTGGGGCTTTTGGGTAGAGTCTCCTGCCCCACACATTACTGTATGCTGAGACCTGATAAAACAGTGGCAAAACTTGTGAACTCCTGGAGTTTAGATTTCGGGTCTGAGGGAGTAACTTAGAAAGAAAAGAGGCAAGGGAAATACACCTAGTCTGTTGTGCAACCACAGTCTAGATGCTTGATGTGATCAAGCATCACAAGATGCATCAAAATCTAGGTGCTAAAAGTGACCAAATTTGTTCTCCTTCTGAATACCATGGGGAAGAGGTGTCACCCAATTGTCCACTGACAGTTTTAGTGCTTGAGTGTGCAAAGATATTTTCCCATGCCTACAGTCCTGGCTACTGTTCAAGGAAAAATCCAGTAAAATGGATTCTGTTTTCCTGTCCAAGGCAGGCAAAATTCAGAAATCCTCAGGCAACTGAAGTCTGTGGTAAAAGTGCTTCAGGCACTTTACTAGCAAAGAGATGGTGTGAGACATGGGGTTTCTCCTAAGTATGCGAACAGTTGAACTTGAAAAGGCTTTATAGAAGGCCTCCCAGGATTTGGACAGAAATTCATGTCACTGACTAAAACCCAAGAAGATCTTTTCTGTGTTGTTAAATACACAGTGAGAGAGGCATTGGAGTGGAATTTGATCAAGAGAACCTGTACACATGCTTTGTCTCCCTTCTGTCCAAGGAGCCAAGCCCTTTACTTCCACACATTGATTGTATTAAGGGTATTTCCACTTTCTTCTGAAATACTTTCAGATTATCAAGTTTTTAAAAGATTATCTTCCTTCCAGCAATTGCCTGACCTCTTGTGTTTTGCTTTATCTCTGCACCAGAACTGCAGAGGCTGGGTCATCTGCATGGGTTTGTGTAGCAATTGGTGGAGTTTGCTGCTGAGCTGTGTAAGCCTAGGAAAGGGCAATCCCCTTCTTCAAGAAATGGTTACCTCCCAAAAGAGGAATTTTTGTTTTTCTGGCAACTTGATGAAGGAAGTGGGATTTCAAAAGAGAAGGGAAAAAAAAAAATAAAATCTGGGTATTTTCCAGTTGGTCTCACAGTCTAGGAAGCATGCTCAGACACTGCTTCATCAGTTCTTGGCTGTAGAAATCCCTGCTGGATGGACTCACTCATCCTCTTTGGTGATGAAAAGATGCTGAACCTTGGGAGAGCTGCCCAGAGCCTTGGCAGGATGAAAACGCTCTCTGAAGTATGTGGCATGCTTTCTGCAACATACTACAGCCTGGGTTTTAGTAGGAAGAGGACAGAGAGAGTGTGGACTATTGGTGGGAAGAGCAGAGCTCTTTCCAGATGTGCTGCATGGGTCTTCACAGGAGAAGCTTGGGCTGGGTTTGATTGTGAATGAAGTGCTTTGGTGCACAGGTGCTGACTTCTAACCACTTGTAGCACCAGGTGTTTTGAGCCAGCATTTACATTAGCATATGTAAAGCCTGAAGGTAAAATGATTTATACTTAGTATTTATTACTTATAACATAGGAAATCTACAAACATCTTAATTTCTAGTAAATATATCAGCTTGAGGAAGGAGAAGTGTCATTCTGATAAACTTGTTGATTGTGAACATACCATGTTTTCAATAGAAACAAGATAAGGATAAGGAGCTATACAGACAAAGCCTTGGGTCCAAGGGTTGTAGGTGAGCCTGACGCACCTTTTTTTATTGTTTGAGTATTACCAGTGACCCTTCAACACTGTTGAGAATGGGTTTGTGAGAGAGTTCTTGGGTAGCACACATTTCACTGTTCTTTCTTATCTGGATCTGAGGGCAGTGCGAGTTCAATTGTAGATTGATGACAAAATAATTCTTTGGTTGAATCAATTACCTATATCTTCCCTGGGTATCTCTGTTTTGGTTTCAGGCAGAGGGGTGGGAGTATGAGGGTAAACACAGATTTATTTAGTATGTTTTTAGCTTTCACAGTTGCTCTCTTTTTACAACTTTTAAAAAGACTCTTCTTCGGGATGATTTCCTTTACTTTCTTCACCTGGATAAAGATATATTTCTTTGGTCTTTTAATTTCAATTTCATGCTCTAATAAATTTCATGCTTTATTCATTTATAGAGTTGTTTTGTGCCTAGAGTGACAGAGAATATTTTGCGTCTTTGCTTTTCTGCAATTGATTTTAGGGTGGTTTGTGTGTTTTGTTTGGTTGGTTTTTGTTTGTTTGTTTTTAATAATTCCCCAAAGTTATTCCAGCTCCGTCTTCTGTTTAATATCTTTACAGTCTAGATTCATTAATTTCTATTTCTTGTATCTCTCCACATAAACTTATTTGGAGATTTGGGTTCTTTTCGTATCTCAAAGCCGAAGCAATTCCGCACTCTGTTTCTTTCAGCAGTTCCCAAAATACAAAACTGTTTCTTCCTGTCTGAGATGGGAATTCAGTATTTATTACATTGGAGCAGCTTTTCTATTTTCATGTTTTCAAAAACGGTTTCTCATTTTAGAAGTCCTTCTACTGAGTCATTTTCCTCCACCCCCAAATCTCTTTTGCTCTTAAGTAGTTTATTTTTAGTGGGATTTTATTAAGGAACTTTCACACAGTTGAGCTTATTCTGTAAGTGCTGTGCAAATGTCAGTTTATATGCCATCTGCTACAGTCCCTATGTTTCATTTCAAGGTGTAGTCTTAATGTTAAAACTCA